TGGTAGTTTATCTTTACATGATTTACCGCTATTATATTTAATGTTAGTAGTTATGAATCATAAAGTAAAATTGCTATTATAAAATATTGTCATATTATATTGCGAAGCGAGCGGAGCGTATACCGCAACAACAGGCACTTTCGCGTTGTGCGTGCGTGCAAAATCATTCTGGCTCAACTACGAAGCGCGAGAGGCTATCAGATAGATCAAACGACTCCTCTATATGCGGAGGTGTTGGGGAAGATCGGAAAACTCGATTATACGAACAACTCGAAGAGATATGCACGATAAACTTTAATGATGGAGAAATGTCCTACCCGGGGATCGAACCGGGGACCTATGTCAAATTTATTGATTGAATTCATGGACGTGGACTCAGTGAGCCCACCCCTTCGTCACGAAGGCCTACTATTAATATACTTGCATCACGCAACTATCAGTGGGGGAAAGTTTCTATTATTCACGTTAGGGCAATCTCGAAAATACTCGGTGGTTGAGGAAAGTGACTACTTGTATGTGGAATTTTTCAGGATAATAACAGCACGCTACCGAGAGGTAGTGGCAGCGGTCTCGATCGGCTTTCCTCAACGGAGAGCTCTCGATCGACTATCAAGTTCATCGAGCCGTCGAAGTGGCCACAAAGCTTCCAAAGGTGAAGTTAACATAGAGTAGATGAGCATGGCAGTTGTTGTTGTTGTTAGATATGCGAAGTACTTTCAGAAGCTCGTGACGGCTGATAGCACTACCACTAGAGTTACTTCAACGTAGGTTCAAAGAGTGCAGGGTTACTGATATCTATATATAATGTGAAATAGTAGATTATAGACATATATATATCGATATACGAATGTCGATCTAGTTCATAAACCCAATAGAAACCCCACCCTATCACTATATATATACATATAGGCAATATACACTATACGATGCTTAACATACTATATATACATATATTAATACCACTCCATGGAAGATATGTGACATACTTTTAGAACTATTGATTGTTTTAATTGAGATATAATTTTCGAGAGCTCTTTTGAGAGCTTAAGATGCTGCAACTTCTGACCAAAATCTTGAGCAACTTGGTGAAAAAAGTGTGGAAAAAAATCGATTTACGATATATTTGAACAATACTATATTAGTCTTAGGAAAGCCCCTATACAAAATTTCAACTCCAGTTGAGCGCTGAGGAAAAGGTCATCCCAGTGGCACGAGACGGATTTTTTAAATTTTATAATAGCAATTTTATTTTATGATTCATAACTACTAACATTAATGCGCGTAATTCTGTAGCATTTGAGGATCAACGACAAATTGACGATAAAACGTTACTTGAGTTGTACTGTGAACTCTTCCTGTTGGGGGTGTTTTCTTGAATAGAATCAGTCTTCGGCGGGTCGTATTCGATTATAATAAGTGCTCAGTACTCTTTCGAACGTCACAGCAATGAGGTTTTATACAATTCCTATCACAGATGAGCTTTAGGATGAATTGTTCTTTTCTGATAAAAAATTGTGATTATCTTTTTATCGGTCAACGTTGAAGTCAGGGCCTTGCATCGGCCACCTAATATCTCCGCGTTTGTTGTCTCCATCAATGCTGATGAGAATTTCTCCTGTTTGTAGGTATTTATTAAAAATGATTATTATTGATCGTTTTTTACCCCCGGCATCAGACCTCTTCCTAGAAGTAGAGGAGATGATATTAGATGCTACGGAAGAGTACCGGTTGGAGACATGCATTCTCGCGGCTGAAAATACCTATGCAGTGGTGTAAGTGGAGAAGTGTTAAATGCAGTGTCCCCTCACGTATGAAATTATGCTATAATTCATCTTTTTAATATCACGTTTGTGATATAGTCCGATATGATGGAGTTTCACCCGCGATGTGAGAAATATATTTCGCAAACCACTACATGGTGAGAATATCGCGTTTTTTGCAGAGTATTTTGCCACTTGGCATGAAACGGGTGAAATCTCAATATATCTACAGACTCTTTTGCAGGATTAAATTTCATTCATACTTCGTTTCTATAATTAGTGTGCTCGAGTCATTGAAGGTTCGTATAGGCCGCAAGAATAGAGGATGTTTTGATGGCAAAATTCTTTGCTGAGTGAATTTTTTGAATTTTCTGCAAAGTGAAAATTTGAGGCGAATTTGAGGGTAGACGGTGATACGTTTCCGCACGCCTAGATTGTGCGTAATGTAGTCCTAGTACTAGTAGTACTAGTAGTGGTAGTAGTAGTAGTAGCAGTAGTAGTAGTAGTAGTAGCAGTAGTAGTAGTAGTAGTAGTAGTAGTAGTAGTAGTAGTAGTAGTAGTAGTAGTAGTAGTAGTAGTAGTAGTAGTAGTAGTAGTAGCAGTAGTAGTAGTAGTAGTAGTAGTAGTAGTAGTAGTAGTAGTAGTAGTAGTAGTAGTAGTAGTAGTAGTAGTAGTAGTAGTAGTAGTAGTAGTAGTAGTAGTAGTAGTAGTAGTAGTAGATGTCCTTGGTCAGGGACTCGGATGAGATGGCAGGCTCGATGACTTTGGATATGACCCAGGGTGGGGAGTATACGGTGGTGCTGAGAGGAGATGTGGGAATTGTGGTAAGGAGTCGGACTAAGTCTAGGCTAGCAATACGATACTATTTTAATACAGGTAAGGAGTGTTGGGAGTTTCCTCACTAATCATAGGAGTCTATATACGAATTAGGGTAGAAGTGTATAGAAACCAAAAAGATTCTCAAAAAATTTCCATAATTTCACCAACACATGTTCAATTCGTGTTTTCTATTTGTGCATATTTTTTCGGCCGGAAAAACTAGTGTCGGTATATTTTCGCTTTCCTCATCAGAGTCTATGAGTTTTCGCACTCATTATACGAATTTATAAACGCCCTAGGGTAGAAATGTACAAAAACCAACCAGAATTTCCCGAAACTTCCTCAGAATTTTTCGTATTGTCACCAACATATGTGGTTTACCTTGCCTTGGAAAGTGTTGGTGTTAGCGTTTGTTGGCGACGGAGAAGGCGAGGTAATAGAGTTATCGCGAGAAGACGTAGATGTGTCGGGCTTGAGAATCGATGAGATCCCACAGGAGTTCAAGATGACTCTATTCCTCAACAAGTAGTAGCAGTTTCTTATGGTAGATGACTGAATGTCGATTGTCAGATGGACGGTCGAGGACCAGGAGAGGTTCGAGGAAAGGAAGAGGAAGAGGGCGGAGGATGAGGCTGTGGCGAGAGGAGAGCATCTAGAGCGAATGAGTAGGTTCTTGTGATGCAGTTGGCTTTGGGTTTTGTATTTAGTGACACTCTGGTTGGGTTGATATCATGAAGGAATATATAAATATTCACGCTCACTCCATTTTTGAAATGGAGTTTCAGCTGGTTTACGTGAAGTGGCGTAAAACTCGGTGAAAAACGCGATATTCGCGCTATGCAGTGGTCGTGAAATATATTCCTCACTAGTGTTTTTCATATCACGGCCGCCCGTGAAACTCCAATATATAGAACAATATAGACGCTATAAGAATATATATTATATATCTACTATTATTGTATATGTGGTAGTTTATATTTGAAATAATTGTTATTATAAGCCGTTGAGTTCTATTATTGGTAATGTGGAAATTTCACGTGCGCTTGAGAGCAGTCTTGGAATATATATTTGCTCTCCTCAGCTCGGGAGTTTTCTCAGTAATTATAGGAGTTTAAATACGAATTCGGGGAGAAGTCTAAAAAAATTTCCCGGAAATTTTTATATTGTCACCAACACATGTAGTTGATCAAGTGCATATTCCCCCCGACAGTCGAGTTTTATGGTCAGGATCACTCAGTGCAAGTAGGGAAGATGGATCCCCGCAGAGTCGTCGTAGAGTAGAAGGGGCATCTCCTATGGGGAGAAGGGGCAGTGATTGCTCTACTGCCACACTCACGAGGGAGCCCAGTACTGTGCAGAAGCCCAGGGGGGACGGGTAAGGCGTGGGAATTAATAGTGGTCGTTGTGGTTGCATAAAACTTGAACTTAAGTTGTGGCCTACTCGCACTGTATGGTCGTTATATATGCTGGCTTTAAATTATACATATACGTATGGATCGACTTTGAAATTTCGGTGCTGCGGCGGAAGTCTTCCTAGAGTTCCTTTGCTTGTCAGGAAAGTCTTTTTCGAGCACCACATGTTAGCCTCAACGGTAAGAGCTAAGACCCGTCCACACCTGGACAGTGCAAGTCTGAGCCCATCTCAAAGAAAATGCGATCCGGTGGTGGCTCTGATGGACCGGGGATATGAACGACTCCATGCTGGGGTGTCGTTGGAGGTGAAGAGTGGCGTTGAGGAAATGCAAGATGAGCAAGATTTGGTATTAGGTTTCTGATATGAATCTGTTCGAAGCCTACGCGTTTTGCGAGAGGTATTTCCCGTTGTCGGCGGCGGCTACTTCTCGGTCGCATGGGGGATCTCGGGTGAGCAATTTGGTAGGTTGTTGTTTGTTTGGAAAACCTGGGAGTAGATGGTCGCTTTCCTCAGCTGAGCTTGGGAGTTTCCTCACTATTATCCGGATTAGGGTAGAAGTGTATGAAAAGCAACAAGATCTTCTCGAAATTCCCTTGGAATTTTCATATTATCACCAACACATGTAGTTGATCATGTGTATTTTCTCGCACTGCCCCATGGAGGTTTGTAGTGAACACTGTTAGATCCGGCTGTAGTAGGAGAGTGAGGAAACTTGTTAGAGTTCTTCATCGCACTAGTTGCTGCGAATATCGGACGGATGCCGTCTGACGATATGAAGTTTCTCGGTTTTCTGTTGACGTTTTCTCCACGCGAAAGTCGACAAAAGCATACATTGGAGTTTCACCTGTTCTTCGTGAAGTGGCGTAATACTCGGCGAAAACGCGATATTCGCAGTAGTCGTGAA